TGACTGGATGTGTAAAGCGCTTTGGGGTCGCTATACAAACACAGGCCATTTACCATTTTTATTTCAGGCTCAAGTAACGGTTTAACCGCAGAGGCCGTGGCGTAAACGCAGCGCTCATGATGTCATGACAGTCACAGGATCAGAGGGTTAAATTAAACAGCTGCTCAGTGAAACCTTTCGCTGTAATCAGTCACCTGACACTTCATTTCAAAACTCCTTAACTCCTGAGCTCCAGTTTTGGATCCAAACACTGCAAACTAACACTTAAAGAAGCCCCGCCCACACCACACAGGTGCTGTCGAGCACCTGGGATCTCAGCAGGTGTGGTGTGTACCTTGGTGAGCTCGGTGCGGAGCTCCTCTGCCTCCTCCTCCGTCAGGCCAGGTGGAGGAGGGTTGGCTGGGTTCCCCATAGCGCCCTCCACGGGCACGTCGGACAGGCTGTCTGTGCGATCCACGCCGAGAGCTTTGTTAGGAGAGTTCAGGTTGATATCTGAGAGGAGGAAGAGGAGGAGGCGGGATTAGAGACACTGAGACAATGCTGAAAGCAACAAAGGCGCACGCGCACACACACACACACACACACACACACACACACAGGAAAAGGCGAGTGCTGGCGGCGGCTGATATCAAACAGGAAGTGGCAGCAGCTGCTGCGAACACCGCCACACTGAGAAAGAAACTGAGTCATGCTGGAACAGAAGGACTGGTTCTGATGGGCGTAGCAGCTTGTGGACCAGTGCGGTCCAACACGGAGGACCTCTGGCGGTGGACGTGAGTCAGCAGGAAACGCTGGCGCCCCCGGTCAGACCGGCAAATGGTAAAAATCAGCAGGATGACCCTGTGACTAGAGCAGGGCGATATGGCCAAAAATATTTATCACGATATATATTTGAAAATTTGCGATAACGATATAACCGACGATATAATTGATGCGAGACAAAATACAACTCCACAACATTACTAGCGCAAAAAGACAACCTTCCATTTATTTTCACTTAAACAAGAAGCTGGTTTTTATGTACATTAAAGCTTTATAAAAATGTAACGGTGCAAATGCAAATTCTTTGCTGAAAGTTAAACCAAAAGGCATTTCCAGTAGAAATGGGCTGACATATCCTGAGCATAACCATGTATAATATCCACTGAAGTTAAAAAGAGGTGCTTTGCAA